ATATATATATATATATATATATATACAGAAATTTAGAAACATGAAATATTGTAAATATATGTACATATATTATATCATAATATATTATAAATTCATGTGTAAAAAATAATAAACAAAATAAAATTGTACCTGTTATGTTTCATTGGAAATGGAAATAAGTGTTGATTTTCCACAATATTTTTATTGCATTCCTTGACGGCGCACGATAATTTCTGGACCAACATCTTTTCCATCTTTTCAAATGTTCTCTCAAAAAATATCTGCAACACTAAGAATGAAGTGCTTTAAGAGAATCGAAAATCTGTTTTTGTAAATTCCTATTCTCTGTAAAGAAATGATCGGCCTTTATTATTTGGACCGTGATCTGATCACGTGCTGACAACACGAATAACATTTGTCTTTATTTAACAGTTGACAAATAACAAGAATGAAATGATTTTTGAGTGTGGAACATGAATCGGACCGCGACTCTGGCATTTTGTTTCCTAAATACGTACGAATCTTAATACTTTATTGGACACTAAACTGTTCACTGAATACTTATAACTAAACACATATCACTTTATCACTTTATCACAAATATCTTTAGTTTTTCACACAAGATACTCATTCCCACCTTTTCGTTAAATGACCTTTTAAATACTTTTAAATGCTTTATAGGGTAAGGCCTTGCACAATAGCAGAAATAAGCAATAAAGGATAAACGATTTTAACCTATTAGAAATTGGATATATTGGAATACACGATTTCTGATAGATTGAAATTAATTTATTTCTATTCCTTCATTGTGCATAGGGCTTAAGGCCAGAGAGAAACCTGAGAGAACATGATGGCCCAAAACTAGAACACTATAATAGATATTCACATCCACTTACCATTTTTAATCCCTTCTTCCCTTTTTGTTCTTTCTTCAATCTTCTTAGTTTAGCAGCGAAGTGGAAAAATAGAGAGAGAGAGAGAGAGAGGGAGAGAGAGAGAGAGAGAGAGAGAGAGAGAGAGAGAGCAAGGGATTGAGGAAAGAAGCAAGAGAGTGAGAAAAGGACTAAAAATGGCGGATGCGAATGCTCATAGTGCCTTGCCAAAACCTGTAACCGCAAAATAATGCCGCGCATTATTACCTTCTAAAAAAGTAAATGTTAACTATATAACAATATCCATCTTGCGGTACTTCTGATAGAAATAAATCGCTGAAATCATTGAAATCTATTAATTTGGTAAATTTTAATTTGGTAGCAAAGAGAAATTTGAAAGCCATCCCGAGGTCTTTTTCGTAAAAAATCTATGAAACGCCATACAAATGCATCAATGTCTATTTCTTGTTATATTCATATATCATATTCATATTAATTATGGCTGTGTTCCAAATTTACTCTCAGCGCTGAAAATGCTTAGGTCACATACACTATAGATTTTCAGTCATAGGCAGTCAATTTTGGAACACAGCCTCTATTACATATTATATTTCAATATGTAACATTGTATTTATTACATATACTATATTATATTATTATTAATATTTATATTCATATACATTTTTCACATCTATATTTGAATATGAAATTGTCGATAAAATAATAGTATCGAAAATGGATGTAGCTCATGTCTGTGTTAACAAGAGCCAATCCTAAAAGTTGATTATGAAAATTGAAATAAGCAAAATCCACTAAATATACTGATAAAAAAATTACAAATATTCTAGTGAATTTGTTCATTTTTGTAATTTTCATCTCGTTTTAAAATTCACAATCGACCTTGGCTAATTAAGCTCTTATTTATATCAATATTATTGATATCAATATTTTACAATTATTCACAGATATAATTCAATGATCCCAAATCCGCGTGCGATCTTTGTCTTATACTTCGATGAATATTAAGGGATTCACTACATACACATTTTTTAGCTTGTATAAAAAATAATTATCTTACTCTTTCATCATTTATTTATACTTATCACATTAAAGATAACACATTTGATAGCTGACATCTTTATCTTATCATCTAAATTGAAATATTTATTGTATTATTATTTGTTTAACGAGAAAGAGTTAAAAGAGCTTTAGTATACTGCGGACGCGCCAACAAATAACAATTTTATAGTTTCGAGAATATTATATATTATTTACTGGATAATATGAAATATAATTGTGCAGTTTATTAGTAATCTAGTGAAACGTCGTTGTATGTGCTAAAATTGTATGTGCTATTAAAACAATCTTCATTTTTCCTTCTCCATTAAGTGTTAATTTATATAAAAATATCTGTGTCTGCAGTTCAATTTCTTTGCAAAAAATTTATTATCGAAATATCTAAATTTTAAATTAAATATTCGAATTATATTATATTCGATTATAAAAAAAAATGGGTAACTATATATTATACACATAAGACATAATATTTGATTGTGTAATATTTTTTTTGTGTAATAAAACTTATAAATAACATCTTTAGGTGGTTCTTCTAGTCAACAGGCAGAACATGTAAACAGTGAACAAGCAGAATTATCTAATGGAAACGAATCTACAAACACAACTGTGACAGCACCACCTACTATCTTTGCTACAAAAGATGAGTTTGTTAGAATCTGGTTTTCATGGAAAAATGATTTCTTTGTTTATTTGAAGAATATTGACAAAGCTGAAAACAAAAAACAAATGTGGGGTTTCATGCTTTTAAATCGTATGGGTCCTATTGGTCAAGAAATTCATAGAACATTTCATTTCTATGGAGAAGATAAAAATACATTGGATATAAACATATTAATAAAAAAATTTGATCTTTATTGTCTATATGGAGATAAAAAAAGAGGCAATAAAGACATCGACGAATATATACATGAATTAAAGGTATGTCCCAGTGAGAATCGACAATAGAATCAATTCGATGTCGATTCGATGTCAATTTAATTTCGATATCAAATCGATGTTTATTTCATTGTCATTTCTCTCTGAAGTTAATAAAACTATATTTACTATATTTACTATATATAACTATATATAAATTCTTACTCTCTAAAACTTTTAGAGTGAATCTTACTCTAATGAGTGTATTCAAAAATTGAAAAATTTAAAAAAAATTCTGAAAAAAATTTAAAAATTCTGAAAAAAATTATTAAAAAATTCTTAGAACTCTATGAAAAGAAAACAAACAATTTTTGTCTCTTGCAATTTCTCTGTAAAGTTGATAGTATTTGAGTAAAAAATTTTGAAGTAAAAAATATTGAAGACTAATTTTCGACAATTTTTCGGTAATTAATATTTTGTTAACTATTGTGAAAATTGCAAAATAGTAAAGGACTTTTCTTCTCAGTTTAGTCCATTCTGTCCCTATGTGAAAGATTTGTTATTATTTTCCAA